TATATATATATATATATATAATTAAAAGAGAAAGTGATAGGCCATCAGATCAGATTAAAGTATACTGAACTAGAATCATTTGTAATTGCTGTGAAATTATCATTTTTCTTTGGGGTCTTACATTGGAGAACCATATTTTGAGGTGACCTCACTATAATGTAAATATATTTTTTCATCTGACATTCTACCTGTTATATTGTGTGTGTGAGGTCAGTGAACACATTACAACATTATGATCTTTCAACAGATGAAAAGGAGAGGTTTGACCCTTCCCAGTTTCAGGAAAGTATTGTTCTCGGCTTGAATAAAAGTGGCACAGATTTGGACGCTGTTGCAAAATTCCTTGATGCCTCTGGTGGCAAACTTGACTACAGACGTTATGCCGAGACGCTGTTTGACATCCTGGTGGCCGGTGGAATGCTGGGTAAGTGTCTGGACTCTTTTATCTGCCTCTGTGGTTTTATCTTAACGATGTCCGTCCACTGAAGGATCCCAGTGCTGTGCACCGTCACTGCAGTACTGGCCAGGTTAAAAGCAGAGTGTTCTAAGGTGTGTCTCCTCTATAGAGTAGGACTTTAGTACTTCAGTAGGAGCCGCGTCGTGCCTTTGTACAAAGCAGCACTAAGTGCGACACGAGTGTGTGCTGAGAGTTTGAGCCGACTGCAGTTGTTTTTTCTTGTTGAGTGCACGTGTTTTTCAGACTGGAGAACCTGCGCCCGTACCAGTATCTTCATGCTGGTTGGTCTTAGGACGAGTTGTGGCTTGGTGCAGCACATTGCTCTCTGGAGGCAGTGTAAAGCAACTGTACTTTGACCAGCGAGGTCCCAGTGTGGAGTCATGGGAGCTACATGTCACTGTTCCTGTTAGTGCTAGTTATATGCTCACAGATGCGTTGCTAGCTTCAGGGCTGGGCAGTAACGGACCTGCTGTCTCTGTGGGGAAGCCTTCACTTTTAATAACGATCCACCAACTTACGAGCACACCTGCCTTTTAAATGTCGGGCAGATGGTGTTGTGAATGGCCCGTTGTCTGTTTACACCTAAACACATGCATGATTAATTATGACCAGCTTAGTTAGCTACGTGTCTGGTTGGAAACTTCAGCTGAGCTACTGCTCTAGTAAAACTGGGACCGGACTTATCTCTGTTTTTCTGCCCTGTTTTCCTCACCTCTGCTGTTACTGTCTGTCTATTTATGTCCCCGTCTCATGAGTTAATCAGAGATATTTATATTTACCAACACACACACACAGAGTGGACGACATGGACTGCATTAAACTACCTTTGATGGTGTTGGGAGAGTTCTTTTAGAAATGTATTCTCCTTTGTTTGTGAGTGTAGAGCAACAGAAAGGAAAGTTTTAACTAATAATGTCTAAAGGATCCACTGTTCAGTCTATGTAAAAGTTTGAAAAAATTAAAAAGAATTTTGAACTTGGATCTCTGAAGTCAGTTTTGTGTTGAAAAACGTCTGATGTCACTGTTGAGCTATGATCATTATATAACATTAAATCTCCCAAATCAAACCAACTTCAGCAGAGATGGCTGATGAGTTTCGCCCTGACATATATAACACTTTGATCAATTAAAACACACAAAATAATCTATATATATAATAATACAAACGTCTGTTTCTTCCAGCCCCAGGAGGGACCTTGTCGGATGACATGACCTGCACCGACTTCTGTCTCTTCAAAGCACAAGAGGACATGGAGACAATGCAGGCGTATGCAAAAGTCAGTCATTAAGGCTGGGCTGCAAAACAAGTTGAAGAGGAAATTGTAACAAATGCAGAGCCATAATTATGGTCGTCTTTTCAGGTCTTTAACAAGCTCATCAGGCGTTACAAATACTTGGAGAAAGGATTTGAGGAGGAGATTAAAAAGGTTTGTTTTCTGCCTCTGCACATCTTTACATTACCTTCCTGTGTTTTTGTTGTTTTTTTTAAATGGTATTAAAACATTAAAGAGAAGCTGCATGAAACCTGCCGATTTGAAATGACGTCCGTTTTCCCTCTTGGCAGCTGCTGCTGTTCCTCAAAGGCTTCACAGAGTCTGAGCAGAACAAGCTGGCCATGCTGACTGGGATTCTGTTGGCCAACAGCGACATCTCTGCCTCCATCCTGAGCAGCCTCTTCAATGAGAACCTGGTGAAAGAAGGTACATGGATCCTGAGCTAACGTACAGTTCCGTCTCATCACGATTGTAAAAATAACCACAGGTGTTGAGTGGACTTTTGACTTTTGTCATTTTCAGTCCACTCACCTGTTGTTGACATGAGAAAAGAGAGGCTGCATTTTTACTATAATTCTCCCCCCTCTCCCCCCACCCTCCATTTTTGCATAATGTAGAATTTAATTCATTTTTTTGCTATGGCAGAAATATTTGATCCGTTGTTTTTTTTTGTTTTTTTTTTTATTTGTTTGTTTTTTTATGCGTTGATCCTGAGAAATCCTGTGTGAACGTATCCTGTGGAGTGTGTTTGTTTATCTGTGTATTATTTGGGCCTGGATTTGATCCTGGCAGGTCTGTCTGCAGCAGCTGACTCATACTTTCATCCATTTGTTCAGGTGTTTCAGCGAGCTTCGCCGTGAAACTCTTCAAATCTTGGCTCTCTGAGAAAGACATCGGCTCTGTCGCTACAAGTCTGCGCAAGGTTGGCATGGACAACCGGCTCATGGTGAGGCCAAAACCTGCTGCTGGGATTCTACAAGGTGTAAATGGAGGGATATTATTCCAACTAAAGGGTTAGTTCAGGTTTAGATTTTTGAGGTCAGGACACGAATGAACTCCTGGAGCCGGGAACTCTCTAAAGATGGCTGCCAGATACGTAACAGGATTATGATGCAGTGTTGCCTCTTCACTCATATTAGAGCGTGCCACCTTCAACCCTTCTTGAAAGTCAAGTTAAATTCACAAGTTTGGCTTTATTTATTTGATGCCAGATCCAAACTGATGTCATTTAAGTTGATGACGTTTGTTTCACAGTTTAAATAATAAATCTTTTAGCACCAGTGCCAGATGAAGTCGTTCCATTTCTGTTCTAACTCAGTCAAATCAGTACTCTGTGCTTTTTTGATACTTGACCAAGTTTTGTCATGTCTGCTTCAGCATTCGACCGTTTGCCTTTTCAGGAGGTCTTCCCTGCCAACAAGCGCAGTTGTGAGCACTTTTCACAGTACTTCACCAACGCCGGGCTCAAGGAGCTGGCAGACTTTGCCAAAAACCAGGAGTCCATAGGCGCTCGCAAGAAACTGCAGAAGGAGCTCCAGGAGCAGATGTCACGTGGGGACCCCCTAAAAGATGTGAGCCCCCTTTTTTTTTTCTAACTGTACCATTGGAGCTTTTTTTGCTTGAGCAGTGGTGAAGAAAGAGAAGGCAATTAATTAGTGACGAGTTACTGAAATTCTGACCTGAGCAGTTTTCATCCACTGCGGTCGGTTGTTGTGTCCTGCAGCGTTGCTCTGCCTCAGACATCCACAGTCAAACTCAGTGAACGTTGACCTTGGTTAACCTGTCTTTCTAACGCATGTTACGTCTCTGTTTTACGCCGTTCACAGATTATTGCCTCCATGCTAGAGGAAACCAAGAAGAACAACATCTCGGAGCAGAATATGATTGGACTAATTTGGTCCAGTGTAATGAGCTCTGTGGAGTGGAACAAGAAGGAGGAGCTGGTCACAGAACAAGCCATCAAACATTTAAAGGTGACATTTCTGTCGTACGGTTCGGCAGGTTTCTCCACTCTGTAGCAATCACGCCGACACGGTTAGAAAGGGAATAGAAATCATTAAGAAGCCACGTTCAAATGATGCCGTAATATATGAAAAATATGACGCCGAGACAGTAGTGTTGGTTTATAACCCAGAGCAATCACACCAGTCGAATGGAGTAAAAATGATTCTCATTAGTGGATTATTAAGTGTTTTTGTTCCTACTAAATTTAGGTTGAGACATGAATTCATGAAGAGATGCAGTTGAAGTTGAAGAACAGAATGTTTATTTTTCATCTGTATTCATTTGCATTTTTAAATCTTTACTGCATTCACAAATTGGTACAAACTCAGAATACAATCACAGTTATTTTACTTTTTAGGGTCTGAACCCGGTCATCTGGTCGTTATAGCTAATGTTAGCTCTGGTTTGTGTGTGTGTGTGCGCGAGGTCTGTTGATGCTAACGTCAGCTACGTTCATTGCGCCAGGTCTGTTGATGCTAACGTTAGCTATGGTCGTTTAATTAGATGAATTTGTCTGTAATGTAATAATTCAAATAAATCCCCTGCAGTCATAGCAGCAGTTTGAATTATTGATCGTTCTCTGACGTCTTTATTTTGATTTTGTTCATTTTCTCTCATTATTTTTTTCCACAGCAATACAGCCCACTGTTGAAGACCTTTACCTCCCAGGGCCTTTCTGAACTGACTCTTCTGCTGAAGATCCAGGAGTACTGTTATGACAACATCCACTTCATGAAGGCCTTCCAGAAAATTGTTCTACTGCTCTACAAAGGTACCGTTTTTCTGAAGAACCTTCAGATTTTCATCCTCCATTTTCAGAGAGGTGAATAATGTTGTCGTAGAAGGCTGCAGTATAAAGGCGTATGCTAATGAATCCAGATGCCCGTGGATTACTGACAAAAAGTTTGGGTTGATGAATGTCAGCAGAACGCCTGCGGACATTTGCTTCTGTTACCTGAGGATGCACCTGTGCTGTTGGCATCTGCTTCATAGCTTTTGTTCTTTTTTCATTATTTCTTAAAGAGGATGTGTTGAGTGAGGAGCCAATTCTGAAGTGGTACAACGAAGCCCACCTCACCAAAGGCAAGAGCGTTTTCCTTGAACAGATGAAAAAGTTTGTTGAATGGCTCAAGAACGCAGAGGAAGGTAAGCACGACACAAACTCTGTTGAAAGAACAACTCTGGGATTTGTTGTTGTTGGTTTGTTTTTTTGACAAATACAAAAAATGATGTCATCGATTTATCCTCTTCGTTTACCGTCTCTCCCTCCCTCTCTCTCTCTCTCTCTCTCTCTCTCTCTCTCTCTCTGTCCCGTCTTAGTTTAAATCCTATTAGAAATGACGCTGGTTTGCCAGAGACTATTTTTATTCTGGGTGATGAGAGATGTTTTCTGTCTTTTGCAGCTTCTGAGTCTGAGGAGGAGGAGGAGGAGGCAGACTAAAGACCACGAGTCAGAACTGAACCCCGGTTAGTATTTTTACAGCACTAGACGCAGTACAAGGATGTGTAAAAGCAATCTTTTTTTTCTCCTTCTCCTCTTTACTATTCTCTACCTCCTTGTATCTGTTCAGCTCTAACGTAAGGGCTTTGAAACTGTTTATTCTCACTATATTTTCTGCTGGTGTCGATACTCCCCGGTCATTTTGCCACAGTTAACTAAACAGGAAGCCCTTCCGTCTGATAAAAGTTTTATTTTTTTATTTTTTTTTGTAAAGATGCATCCCTTTAAAACGAGCTACATGGACGGCATAATTCACAGCTATTGTATTAGTCATGGAAGTTGCCAGAGGTCTGTCTGCGCAGACATGATATGTTGGTCCTCTGAAAGGCTAAAGGCTTTTTGTATCCTTGTTTTATGTCTCTGCCAAATATGTGACAACTTTGAATATACTGCCAGTTTTTTAGATCCTGTCTTCATTGTTGGCCATGGAGCCGTTTTCAAACAATGACGGCGGCAGTCAGCCATAAAACTCTGTAATTGTTCTGAGCACGCTGCTTAACCAAACCATGCATACCTGGAGGTTTATTTCCATCACTGTAAAATATGGATTTTGAAAATAAACGAATCCTGGTTTTCATTTCTGGGTTTCTCTTATTTTTTGAGGGGGGGAGTGTTCACTGGATGGGTGGGTAGGGATCTTGCCTTACAGCAGAAAAGGTCACTGGTTTGATCTCTGGAGGATATTTCATGTCGGAGTTTTCTCTCCGTGTAATCCAGTTCACCATCACAGTCTGAAAACATCCACCTGGGATTAAATTGTTCATTCTGAATTGACCGTGTGAGAGCGGATATCTGAAGTCTCCCAGAAGTCCCGGGAGTCGTCCACGTTTTGACAGGAGCTCAGGATTTCCATGAATTAAATGAAATCTCTCGGAATCCGGAGAGACCGAGGAAGAGGGTGAGAGAGGAGGGTAGTCGGAGTTGTTGTTGGTTTATGGAGTATTTATGGACTAATTCTTCTATGTTGAAAATTAGCTTTTCATGTTGGGTGGTTTTCATTGGTCATTTGTTTTGCCCATGGGTCTCGTGGCAGGATAAATAATTTATCTTTTGGTTTAATCAGGAACAGATGCCATGAATACAATGACTTCAAAGAGGTGGTTTTCAAAGTGTGGGTCACCCTGTTGCTGTGGGGGCACATCAGGAGAGGAGCAGTGTGAACTACCTGGTTACAGTTTACAATAATTTGGCACATTTGATGTATGGTTCCATCTAGTGGCATCAGCAGAAATTTCAGTCGACTTGTTGCAGTGAATGAAACCGAAGCATTGACGTCAATCTTTCCTGTTCTTTGTAGTGTTTGGCCGGCCGAATCGGAAAGCCCAGTGGGCCGCATCTGGTCCACAGACCGTAGTTTGCCCAGATCTGGTAAAGTCAGATTTTTATACTTGGAAAACCATTTATAATTGGAAAGTAAAAGTCAATTTGCATCTAAGTAATCTATTACTAAAATTCTCTAAAAAAAAAAAAGTTTGAAAAATAAATCTCTCTCTAGTTAAACCTGTATTTTCCGCCCTAAGAATGTCAGACGGGGTGATTCCCCCTTTAGTCTTCCCTAATCAAGTAATCTGGAACGGGCGCCTGGCGTGCGTGACCTGAGGTACAAACAACAATCTCATTCACTTCACTTCTGTCCTGCTTTAAGTGGTAATTACGGCTCAGTCAAGCATGCAGAAGTGAGAACCAGGAGCTGGTTCCACAGGTCCGTTCATTTGGACACATGGTTTCTAAACGCTCCTGGTTTTAAAGTTTGCTGGAGTTGAAGTTCACACCAGAGTTTACACACACGACAGCTGTTCTGTTTGAGTTTTCCTTCTTCTTTTTTTAAACTCATTTATTTGGTGCTCATCTCCAGTCGTCAGCGACTCCTTCAGCCGGTCGGATCATTCAGTCCCGTTCAGCCTCCATCTCAGTCTGCATCACAGCTCGGCTCTCACAGCATTATCGGCTCATTATCAGTTTCACTGGGCTCCAACAGAGGGCAGTAAGGCCTTAAGAGACGCTTCCTCCTCCTGCTAAAAGCCTTCCATGTCTCAAAGAGAAACAACATTTTGAAGAGACCAGCCTAGAAAGTATTAGACACGCGCAGAGCTACAAAGTATCAGACACCAGTATTTTCTCTGCCTCTCAGTCTCAGGGGGATTTGTTTGCCTTTTGGTTTTATTTAGTTGCTCCAAAGAACATGACACAGTTTGGGAGAGTGACATGTCAGCAGGGGAAACGCCGCCGCCGCCGCCTCGGGATTAATGTGAGAGTGTACTCTGGCACGTTTGTGTGGAGGTGTGTGTGTGTGTCTAGTCAGCCCCCCCACCCCAGCTGTTCCTCCCTGTGCAAAGCTCTGGCAAATACCATCTTGGTGGGACTGTTATCTGCCTGTTACCAGTGGTGCCTGACTCCACACACACACACACACACACACACACACACACACTGCTCCTCCCTGCGTGTCATTCTCTTCAGGCCCTCAGTGTGGCAGCGCTCTGGGATAATGAGCTAACACTTCTGTTTGTTTTGCTTATCTGTCATTTTTAAGCAATTACGTGAACTGCTGTTCGTCGTGGTTTACCTGCGATGTTCCACCTCTGGTACGTCTCAGAGTACGCCACGGTCCGATGGTGGGCTCGCAAACAGCGGTGTCCGACACATGTCCGATAGTCATTTTTTGTCGATGTTGTCCAAACACTTCATTTCCACTTCCGATATAAACCAACACCGATGTGGCGTGGAGGCGGTGGTTAAAGAAGTGCCGTCTGTTTACTAAGGTGACGGGTTAGAGCAGTGTTTCTCAATTATTTTCTATGCTAATTATTATTGAATTGATTAATAAAATGACTTGCAATGTCGCCATCTAGTGGCTTTCACTTTCACATACAGCCATTTTTCCCCCTAAAATCATTTGGTGAAATCGTGTTTTCATTAGCGGAGGAAAAGCGTTAAGGATTCTTACAGATGTTACATAATTTTGCTAACTTCAGGCCCATGTTATCGGACATCCCTAGTTGCAATTAATTCAATTTTTTTTATAACCTTTTAAATTTCTACCACCTCTGGAAATATGTGTCACAGTTGGACGTCCAGACCTGAGCGGCGTAGAGCAGCCTGGTGTTCCGGGGGAATGCCGGGGGAGAAGGGGAGTGCAATTATTCTGGATTTCACACTGCAGCTTTGGTCAGTAAACATGGCTCGGACTGCAATGCAGAACTCCTATGAATAATGCTGTCACAAAACAAAGGGAGAGCGGGCTCTGTGAAAACAGAGCGAGACTCCCGATAATTACTCTGCGTTTCAACGCCAGATTCCGTGCCAGCGTGCCGTCTCTCAGACCGGGCCGTGATGTAATGAGCACAATGGCACCTTCTCTGTTTTTGGGGCAAACTGTAAGCGATATCTGTTTGTTTAGCAGCGCTGCGGTGCCGGCCAGCTCCCCCCTCGTCTGTTTGCTGCTCCCAGCACTCAGGTGAAATATGGAAATGAGGATCAACATGTTGACTCACTAAATGCTGCCAAGTCGTCCTTGGATCAACTTTTGCCGAGCGTCCCCGTGTACCGTGTAGCCTCCCAGCCCTGATGTCGTCTTATTATGGACCGCTGAGCACCTTGATGACACCACCTCGCTGCTGCGCTGGTATAAAACCAAGAGGGTAGAAATGTGTTGGCTTTATAGGCCGTGCAGCTGCTGTCGTCTGTCAGCTGTCCCCGCTCGGCCGACGCTGGTGTCCGTCCCAACCTGGACGCTGCCGTCCTTTGTCTCCAGCAGCACACAGCTGCTGGTATTAAAAGTCCTCATTTTATTCACGACCTGTTGGAGAGGACGATGATGACCTTAAAGACTGGACGAGAAGGAGCTTCATATTCTTAAAACTCAGAATTTCTTGGTCTCATTGTAAATCCTTAGACGTGTTTTTGTCATAATATAATCAGAGAAGTTATAGTTAACAAAGACTCACGTAGCAACACTGGATTATATCAACTAATTACCCCGTTAACTGTGGCTCCTTTGAAATGTTTTTAATTTTCTTCACTGTATTTTCCCTCAGAGTTCTTATTTGTAGGCACATATTAAGACAAATGGTTCCATTATGAGTCGACCAGCTGCAGTTTGTGACGCGACGGTTGGTCTTTTTGTTCCTAATTCACATGTTTTTCCCCTGTTTGTGCTGGAGTTCTCTGCAGAAACTCAATTTCCTCCCATGCAGTTCATTGTTCATCAGTGCAAATTTTTGTTTCCATGAGTATTTATAAAACATTTCCCACAATGCACTGGGTCATACACTTCAACAATTTTCAGAATAAAGTGCTTTTTGTTAGGTCAAAGCCGTTACTTATTTAAACGTCCGCTGTAAAGCTAAATGCTGCTTTAGCGTTAGCCTGCAACCGCTAACGTACGTAGCAGGTAATAACTGAGTAACAGCTCCATTAACTCTACGTCCTGTTGTTGTTGTTAGCCTCGTGGAACTGGAAATATCTGCTTTATTTCTTTATGTCTTTGTTGGGAAACATTTCTGCCTGAATAAATACCTCAGCTCAATCATTTTACACCGTTGCATCCCAGAATTATTTCAACCAAACCTCATATGATCGGCTCCCCCTGTTGGCAGGATGGGTTATTAAAAGGAAATGAGCAGCAGTCAAAGTTGAGCTCCTCCTACAGGTCAAGGACAGGCTATTAAAAAACCCAGACAGAGATTCTGTCACAGCGCGGCTCACGGTCGTCCTCACCAAGCCCAATCGACCAGTTAAAAAACAAACCACAACAATCCCAGGGCGAGCGCTACAGAACTGGGAGAATGGAGCTGTAATTGGAAGGCTGAAATGTGCAAGGTCTGCAGACAGGATTCAGTGATCTGGTTTTCACCACCGCCTTAAAAAATAGTGTCTTCACTCCCTGTAAGCCTCTTTTCCATCTTATGGGGCCCACATTGAGTGTGTGTAATGGTCTGGCTGTGAGAGTCCAGGGATTTAGCAGCTAGACTTGAGTCAACAGTGAGGCTCATCACAAACATCATTACTTTCTCTCGGCTTGTCCTTCTCCCTCCTCAGTGGCCCAGGTCTGATAGGTGTGTATAAACCACGCTGGAAAAATGGATGGATGGATGGATGGATGGATGGATGGATGGCCTAGTTTGATAAAGAGCGATGGACTCAGAGGCCACTCTTTACCTGGCACATGCTTGTCTCTGGCTCCATATCTGAGCAAAAATGAGGCTTTTAAGACCTGGGAATATGTTATTCCTATCTGGGCGGCTGCAGCTCACCACACAAACTCAAGAGTTCCCACTGATATTTACAGGCCGCTGCTGGAGTGACTGCATTTAGCCAGAGTTGTTCAGTAAGTATATAGCATAAGGGACGGGTGAGCGCTCTGACGGAGCCCTCGTGGGAACACCGACGCTACATCACAGCACTTTGGCAGTGACAAACCGCACCGATAACTCGCAAGTGGAATGAAAGTATGCATCTCCGGAATGTTTTTAACGAGTCTCCCTGAAGTGCGGCAGAGCGACTGTAACTCTGCGATGGAGGAAGTATACTGTGCTCAGTCAGCTTGCAATTCTCTGCTTTCTTTTGCCCATTTAT